CAAGATAGAGCAGAGTTTAGGAGTGAGATACCTGCTGCTCAGCTTTGCACGTGCTAATGTAGAGAAGTTTTGGGGAATCCAGGTGGAAAAGGGCTTGTAGTCAGTAGACTATGTAGGTCTGGGGCTCTGAAGAGCACTGCAGACTGAGGATATTAGGTGTTGTCCGTGTGTGAATGGTGTTTGTTGCCAGGACTATTGAAATCTCCCAAGAGAGTATACAGACAGTCAAAGCCTAGATCACATCTCTGGAGAATGAGTATTTAAGAGAAGGCAGAAAACAACTGAGAAGGGAATGCTGCAGAAAGAGTTTGGAGATGATTCAGGATAGAATGGCAGCGTGAAAATGAAGAAAAAAGAGACCTGTAGCAAATGTCTCAAGGCCTGGGCGGTTGGCAGCTGCAAAGGAGAGGTCTCAGTAGAATCATCAAGGCAGAATATAAGTAGAAGTGAGCTGAAGATTAAATGTGAGATGGGGAATGATAGCAATAACAGTCTTCTTTCTAGAAGCCTGCTCAAGAAAAGTAGCATTAATAATTTAGGACATATAGCATTAAAGGAAGTTAGTATGTTTGTTTCTACTAATATGTAAACTATGTGATTTTAAACAGAAATGTGCAAATTGGGGGCTAGTTATTACAGAGACAGGAAGAAAGGAGCTAATCAATGGATAGAGATCCCTGAGGAGGCAGGGGGCTTGTGTTTCAGGACAAAGGTGGATATATCAGTCTTCAACAAAAAGTGGAACGCCTGTTCCACACTGGAACAGTGTGCAGACAAGAAGAACGAGTGGATGAAAATCCACATTAAGATGTGGGCAGAATGGTAGAATAAATAAGACAAAATAGATAAGAGTCTCTACCTAGTAGTTTCCTTCTTTGTGAAATAGCAAACAAGGTCATCTGCTGCAAACATGGAGCTGTATGCCAGACTTATAGAGAGTGGTGAACATGGGGAAGGACTTTGGGAAGAACACTGGGAATGACTTCAAAGCTTACGGGGTGTATTCAACATTGGGAATAACTTCCCACCCTGTTCTGCTATTTGATGCTACGTAAAATTGTATAGGGTGTGTGTATTTAGTTATGTGCGTGCACATGTGTGCACATTCTACAAATTACCTAGTAACTCCTATTTATTTGAAAAAGATACTGCTGCACTTACTGCAAACAGCTGTGTTTTATCTATAATATTGTCCCAGTTGGAACTGATCTTTGTAACAAAGACTTTGAGTTACTTAAGAATTTATTGATTTAACGTAATATTTAGCTGAATTTTACTATATTAAAATTACTTAAAAACAATTTACTTCTCATACATACACACATACACCAGGAGGTGGGGAGGGAAAGATAGGGCAGTGTTGGGGGACTCAGAGTTGATCAGAATGTTTACTTAACCAGAAATTCCCATTTCTTGATCATATCTCAGAGCATTTACAAAAGTTTATTGAGTGTTAGAAAGATCACTTTCCTGCTTAATTTACGTGTTACGGAAGCTCGTCTCTATGTTTCTTACCTCGGTAGTGTATCCTAGATACCCCACTGTTGACTTCCTGCGACTGGGCGGGTAGGTATGAGCAAAGTGGGTTTGGGGCAGGTACTGAATCCATCCACAGAATTCTGATTCCCCCTTGCACTAATCAGGACAAAGATAAAGTCAGCTTTTGTCTTATGTTGGTGACATTTATGAGGGATTTGATTTTAATTTCCTGTTTTCATACGTTCAGACTAATACTGCTCTTATTTCCTTTCCGCAACAGGCAGCAGCTCTTGAAGCTCATCTTGTCCCTGTCTTGCACTCTCTCTGGCCTTGGCTATGAGGGATTTGATTTTAATTTCCTGTTTTCATACGTTCAGACTAATACTGCTCTTATTTCCTTTCCACAACAGGCAGCAGCTCTTGAAGCTCATCTTGTCCCTGTCTTGCACTCTCTCTGGCCTTGGCTTTTGATGGATGATTCATTGATGCAAATTGCCCTGCAGCTACTTTGTGTCTATACTGCACATTTTCCACATGGTAAAGGAATCCAATATTTCCTTTCAATAATATACTAAAATACTAGTATATTTTATATAACATTAAGGTAGACTGGAAAAACTAATACATATTTTGAAGTGTTTGTCCTATTTATTGAGGATATATTGGTCAAAGGCAAGCTTTTTTGTAGGTATTATAAGAGCAGACATATTTTAGTATGTTTGTGACGTGGGAGAGTCATTAGCAAAGGAAATAGAGAGGGAGAAACTAGCAGGAGGAAAGTTAGTTTTAGGTACAGTTGGTCTGGTGATAGTTTATATCACTGGGGCTCCTCTTTTATTCATTCACCTCATAGACATTTTATTGAGAGCCTACTATGGGCCATGCATTGTGATTTCTAGTGAGACTGATCTGAAACAAGAGAGGAGGACAGATTATGTAGGGCCTCAGGGACCAGAATAAGGAGTTTGGATTTTTCTTTGAGTGTGGTAGGGTACCATTGGAGGTTTAAAGCTGGAGAATGGCATGACCTAATTTGTTTTAGCAAAAGATGACTCAGTGGTGTGTGGAGAATGGCTGGAGGCAAGGCTGGAAGCAGAGAGACCAGTTTGGAGACAACTTAATGGTGGCTTGAGCTCTAGTGGTAGTGGAGAGACTGTGAGAATTGGACAGATTTGGTTTATGACCCATAGGTACGGTCAGGAAAACTTGCTGGTGAAGGTACGAAGGAAAGAAAGGTATCCAAGATGACTCTCACTTGGAGAAATGAACCTGAGTGCATAGTGGTACCATTAATTAAACTGGGGGAGATTTGGGAGAAGCAGATTTGACCTGGGAAAAAAGTAGAAATCAAGAGTTCTGCTTGGTCATGTTAAATCTGAGGTGTTTATATTCATCCAAGTGAAAATACTAAGTTGGAGTTGAATTCAGCAGAGGGTAAGAATGAAGATAAAAAAAAAAGTTGAGAGTTTTATTAGTTATTTGTTGTTGCATAACAAATTATCCCAAAAGTTACCGCCTATTGGTAGAGTTTGGATGTGTTGTCCCCCAAAAACTCATGTGTAAGTCTGATCCCAGTGTGACAGTGTTGGAAGCTGTTTGAGTTATGGGGGTGGATCCCTCATGAATGGATTAATGCTCTACCCTGGAGGGTGGGGGTCATGAGTGAGTTCTCGCTCTATTAGTTCCCACGAGAGCTGGCTGTTTAAAAGACCCTGGCACCTCTGCTCTTTCTCTTGCTTCCTCTCACCGTGTGATCCGCTTGTACCTGCTGGCTGCCTGCTGCTTTCCACCATGAGTAGAAGCAGCCTGAGGCCCATGCCAGATGCAGCTTTCCCAGAATTGTAGGCAAATAAACCTCTCTTCTTTATAAATTACCCAGTCTAAGGTATTTCTGTTATAGCAACACAAAATGGACTAATACACCTATAAACAAATTCATGTAATTATCTCACAGTTTCTGTGGGTCACAAGTCTGGGAGTGGCTTAGCTGGGTGGTTCCGGTTCAGTTGGCTGGGCTGTAGTCATCTGAAGCCATGACTGTGGCAGAGGATCCAGTGAAGCTTTTGGCAGCCTCAGTTCCTTGCCATGCAGGCCTCTCCGCAAGGCTGTCTCACAGCATGGCAGCAAGCTTCCCCAGGAGGAAATGACCAGAGTGAGTAGGCCCAGGGTGGAAGTTACAGTCATCATAACCCAGTCTCAGAAGTGACATACCAGCATGCCTGCCCTTTTCTGTTGGTCCAACAGACCAACCCTGGTACAGGGAGGGAGGGGACTGAGGCAGGGGCCACTGAGGCCATTTTGGAGGCTGGCTACGTCAGGAGTCAGTGTCATATAGATTGTATTTAAAGCCGTGGAGCTGTTTGTGATTACCCAGGGAGAATGAGTAGAGGGAAAAATGGAGTCCCACAACCAGTCTCTGAGGCCCATCAACATTTGGAGTTGATCAAAAGATGAGAAACCAGCAAAAAAAGAGAGAGACATTGCATCGAATGAGATAGGAGTACAGCGTCACTGGAGGCCAGAGAAGGGTGTGCTAGGCTGTGTCACATGCCTTAGAAAATTCTAATAAAATGGGATAGAAGCAATGACTGTTGGATTTACCAACACTGCTATGCTTGTAGATCTTAAGGGCAATTTTAGTACAGTACTGGGGACAGAAACCTAATTGGTAGGTTGAGAAGAGGAGGTGACAAAGTAGAGAAGACACCTTTTCCAAAATGTTCAACTCTTAAGGGGACAGAGAAATGGAGCAATAGCGGATTGTAGAGTCAAGGGAGAAGTTTTTTTGTTTTTAAAGATGGATTTTTTAGGGCATTTTTATTACTTGTGAGATTCGGAGAAAGGTGCGGGAAAGGGTTTACAGGCACACCTTGTTTTATCACACTTCACTTTATTGTGCTTCATAGATACTACATTATTTACATATTGAAGGTTTGTGGCAACCCTGGGTTGAGGAAGTCTGTAGGCACCATTTTTCCAACAGCATGTGCTCACTTTGTGTCTCTGTATCACAGTTTGGTAATCATTGCAATATTTCAAATTTATTTTTTGTTATATCTTTTACAGTGATCTGTGATCAGTAATTTTTGATGTTACTATTGTAATTATTTTGTGGCGCAATGGACAGTACCCATATAAGACAGCAAACTTAATCCATAAATGTTTGTGTTCTGACAGCTCCACTGACTAGCTGTTCTCCCATCTCTCTCCCTCCCCTCAGGCCTCCCTTTTTCCTGAGACACAACAATATTGAAATTAGGCCAGTTAATAAGACTGAAGTAGTCTCTAAGTGTTCAAGTGAAAGAAAGAGTACTGTGTCTCTTGCTTTAAATCAAAAGCTACTACTGAAACCTCTCTCCCTCCTCCTCCACCCCCCTCCCTCCCAACAACCTCATATCTGTTCGCTTGTCTATCAGCTTCAAGGAATTCAGGAAAGAAGCCATCTCCATAATGTAAAAGTGCAGGTGAAGCAGCAGGTGCTGATGTAGAAGCTGTAGCAAGTTCTCCAGAAGATCCAGCTAAGATCACTGATGAAAGTGGCTGCACTAAACAACAGATTTTCAATGTAGATGAAACAGCCTTCTATTGGAAGATGATGCCATCTAGGACTTTCATAGCTAGAGAGAAGTCAATGCCTGGCCTCAAAGCTTTGAAGGACAGGCTCTTGTTAGGGGCTAATGCAGCTGGTGACTTTAAGTTGAAACCAATGCTCATTTACCATTTTGAAAATTGTTAGGGCCCTTAAGAATTACGCTAAATCTACTTTGCGTGTGTACTATAAATGGAACAACAAAGCCTGGATGACGGCATGTCTGTTTACAGCATGGTTTACTGAATATTGTAAGCCAACTGTTGAGACCTACTATTCAGAAAAAAAAAGATTCCTTTCAAAATATTACTGCTTATTGACAGTGCACAAGAACTCTGATGGAGATGTACAAGGAGATTCATGTTTTCGTGCCTGCTAACACAATATCCATTATGAAGCCCATGGATCGAGGAGTAATTTTGACTTTTATGTCTTATTTTTTAAGAAATACATTTCATAAAACTCTAGCTGCAATAGATTGTGATTCCCCTGATGGATCTGGGTAAAGTAAATTGAAAACCTTCTGGAAAGGATTCACCATTCTTGATGCCTTTAAGAACATTTGTGATTTATGGGAGGTGGTCAAAATATCAACATTAACAGGAGTTTGGAAGACGTTGATTCCATCCTTCATGGATGACTTTGAGGAGTTCAAGGAAGTAACTACAGATGTAGTGGAAATAGCAAGAAAACTAGAATTAGAAGTGAGGACTATAGATGTAACTGAATTGCTGCAATCTCATGATAAAACTTGAACAGATGAGTTGCTTCTTATAGATGAGCAAAGCAAGTAGTTTCCTGAGATGGAATCTACTCCTGCTGAAGCTGCTGTTAATATTGTTGAAATGACAACAAAGCATTTAGAGTATTGTATAAAGTTAGTTGACAAAGCAACCACTGGTTTTAGAGGATTGACTCCAATTTTGAAAGGGTTCTACTGTGGGTAAAATGCTGTCAAATAGCATTGCATGCTACAGAGAAATCTTTTGTGAAAGGAAGAGTCTACTGAAGCTGCAAACTTTATTGCTTTCTTATTTTAAGATATGGCACAGCCACCTCAACCTTCAGCAACCACTACCCTGAGCAGTCAGCAGCTATCAACATCGAGGCAAGACCCTCCACCAGCAAAAAATATTATGATTTGCTGAGGGCTCAGATGATCTTTAGCAATAAAGTATTTTTTTTTTTTTTTTTGTCTTTTTCCCGGGAACAAGTGAAAGGGGAAATGCCTAGGACAAAAATCCTAAACCCATTTTTATTCCAGTGTTATGTTTCTAATGCTTACCATGTTGTATTTGCAGTCATGTTCCTTCTTCAGTTCTAATGCTGTGCCCCTAAAAGTCACAATGGTGAATGCTGATCCAATGGGGGAAGAAATTAATGTTATGTTTAAGGTGAGCAAAATTCTTTTATCAAATTCCTTTTCCAAAATTACAAAGGTTAAGTTACTTATTTAATACAACCCTCAGTGTTGCCCCCGTACCAGACCGGGGACCGGCAATGGGATCGCAACCCTCGGCGTTGCTCCCGCGCCTCGCTCAGCCAGTGAGCGGGAACCGGTCTGTATGTGGGATCCGAACCCTCGGGCGGGAGCGCTGCCGCGCTTCCCAAGCAGCGCACTATCCAGTGCGCCACCGGGCCGGCCCTAGCAATAAAGTATTTTTGAGCTAAGATATGTACATTGTTTTTTAGAGATAATGCTAATGCACACTTAATAGACTATAGTATAGCATACACCTAACTTTTATATGCACTGAGAAACCAAAAATTTGTGTGACTCACTTTATTGCAGTGTTTATTGTGGTGGTCTGGAATCGAACCTGCAATCTCTCCAAGATATGCCTGTAGATAAGAGTACAGTCTGAGTAGATGTGAGGGGATAGAGCTAGAACACCAGCGGAGAACAGGAGATAGAGGGACAGCTGAGAGGAGGGGTGTAGGTGTAGGTAAGTTGGTAGATTTGATAAGAGACAGGAGAAAGTTCCTATAAGAACAGTTCTGCTTTCTTCATTATTTATGAGAGAAGACCTGTAACGAAAAGTGAACAAAGACCAAGGGGCAGAAGTGATTTGAGGTGATGGGGGTGTGAAGAAGCTGTGTTAGGGGAGAGAAAGCAGACCCGCTAGGTAAGTGAAGGAGGATTGCTGGCAGTGTTAAGTGCCCATTTAAAACATATGGTCATAAATATAAGGTTTGACTAGTCAGCAAGTTTGTGTGCTTTCTTCTAGCAACATTCAGCAGCTTTGCAACTAGGGTTTCTAAATATCGAAGGATATACAGAGAAGGGACTTGAAGACAGTTAAGAGCCCACCTAATCACCGCCACGTGCCGCTGATAGCTTATTCCTTTGAATAGTCTGACACCTCCGGAGCTGTCAGTTCTGTAGCCTGCTCAGGTTGTCTCCAGCTAGCATAATCGGATGTAAGCATACCTGCAAGCTCTTCAGTTGTCATTTTGGCATAAGTGGTGCCAGTACAGGATTGTCCTTTTCTTCATTCTGCTGCTGCTAACTTTCTTAGTTTCCTACTTCTCTTGTGTGTCTGTCTTCTAGCTCAACGTCTCTTACAGTATGACCAGCACGGTATATCTTGTTTTCTGAAGTGTTGCACCTGTCTCTGTATTGTCCTTCTTTACCCTACCTTGTACTCCTTAATTTAGGGTTTAGGGAAATAAGGCAGAATAGAGAATCAGTTGCTATAAGTAGTAAGCAAAAGAAAAATATACTTTAAAAATTTTTTTTGAAAGTATAATTGGTGTTACTTTTATACTAAAATTGATGTAAATATTAGAAATGGCTTCGTTACTAAATTGAGGAAGAAATTTTTTGTTTTCTCATCTGGTTTCTAAGAAAACTGCATCATATAATGAGTTTTGTGTAACAGTTAATAGAAACATTGATATTTCAATATAGCTGTAAAGTTAATACAAGAAAAATCACTCTATTTTTATTTGTGTTTACTCATCTTTATGAGTTTATTTTTAAAAATGTATTTGATTGTGACCTACTTAAGCTGGTGTCCTTGCATGATCTTTCACAAGTTAATTATATCTTAGGTTTATGTTATAAGACAGTCTTACTGATTGAACATTAAGATGTATTTATAATTCTTTTATGATCTTTTTTCTTGCTCAATAACATATGTGACATATACTTACTTAATTTACTGAGAAAACCCTGGACTCTGGAAAGCCAGTAGATGCCACTGCTGACTCTGTGTGACCCTGAGCACTGGCTTTCTGAGCTCCACATCTTTATCTACCAGATATGGAGAAGAGTATTTATGCTGTCCTACCACCCAGTGGTATGATGTTCCTCATTTGTCTTTTCTATAAAATGAAGGCATTAGACCAAAATTACCTCCCATTTCTAAAATTCTGTTCTTCCATGCAGGCCTTTATTTAGATGTCTTCTTTACGAACTATTAAAAAGCCTATTAAGCTTATTTTATTCTCTATTTAAAAATAAATAAATAAACATGGTGTTTTAAAATACTCTATTGAGACAATTAGGACCTCAGTGAGGACAGTAAACCTGCTGATTGAATATAGACATCAGTATTAGCATTCAGTGCTAATTTGCAGTTCACAGGTTAATGGCAAAGCCACTTTGATAAATATGCTTTACCACTTATTGTTTTTAAAGACTACATGGTGAAATGAGAAGACATTGTGATAGGCTGTTATTTTTGAAGGTTGCAGTTCTCTTTGTTGGTCAAGTTCTGGACAATATCCTGTTCAAGCTGCACACAGAGGAGCCCCCAGCAGCTCTTTGATGCTGTGCATCCTAAAATTGGCTTCCCAGACGCCTCTTGAGAACAGCATGGTTCAACAGACAGTTTTTAAGTTTCTTTCAAACCTGGCCTTGTCTCATGACTGTAAAGGAGTAATTCAAAAGGTAAGTACTTAAACTCTCCTTCATATCATATAAGAGATACTCAGTAAAAATAATCCTTTCAATTAAAAGTTTAGAACTAGATTTCTTGAATTATTTATGATTTCAAGAAATTTTATTTTAAGGGATTGTAAAAGGATAAAGAGATTCACTTTGTTTAAAGCCAGTTGATGGGTGATACATGAAAAGTGACAGAAACTAGAATATGATCATATCATTTCCTTTTAGTTTATCTTCTCAGCTTTTGTATTGTGTTTTATCTCTGTCAAAAAGGAGGGTTTTAGAAAGACAGCTGTCTTAGATTTATTGGAGATCATAAAAGTAATATATTTGGTATTTCAGTAGACCAAATTAGGCAGTAACAGTTTCAGTTCAATTTACATTGACAAAATGTTTGATGAAATCAGAGCCTCTTTCCCTCCAGTTAGACTTTAACTTCTCTGTGAAATAATAGATACTTTAATGAGTTCTGTGGGACAACAGTTCCAAAATTTGACTTCTTATAACTGATTTTAACTTAGGGTACTTTAAAAGGGGTAGAATGAGTTAAAGAAGTTCTAATTAACGTGTGCAATTAGTCTATATTTAGATGTGTATAAACAGAATTTCTAATTGGTAAGATCCCTTAAAATTTGAATGTGATCAGATTATCTGTTACTAGTAATAGTGATTCGAATGCTTCTGTTTCTTTTACTTGAAGACCAAGATAAATTGCAAAAATTGACAGCATTTGTAAGAATTGAGTCTCCTTTTCCTCTTCTGTTTGATTGCCCTGAACACCTCAAAAGATACTTTTGAAGTATAGTCACCAAATAAACAGAAAGATCAGTCTTGCCAAAGAAATAGAACAATCGGTCTTAACTAGAGAAATGGAAGGGTCATTCTACTAAGGAAGGATGTTTTCAGTGGGATGCTGGAGCCAGCATCAGCCATGGTGGGAGTATTCACACCATGTAATCTGGCAAATACTGCAAATCAGGGATCCCTCCTACCCTCACTGGAACTAGGCCTTTATTTATCAGCACTCAGCTGGATATTTTCTTCATATATGTTTATATCTATGTCATTTATATTTGAGTACATCTTCTTTGTATATGTATTCATATATGTACACCACTTCCAAAATGAGAAGTCATCATCCTTCAAAATGAGAGATTTTACATGTGTTTCCCATATTCCATATAGAGCATATTGGTAGGAAGCTAAGTAGAACTTCCAGATAGAATGTCAGTTCTAATCTCAAATTTGGTGTGTGACTTTGAGCTGGAGACTTATTCTCTTTAAGCCTCAGTTTCTTCATTTTTAGAATAATTGGCTTAAACAAAATGACCTCTGAGGTATCTTCAACTTTCAATCTATGATTCTGGTGCCACACTTAAGAATATTTTTATACAAGTGGGATCAGACTCTGTTTTCAGGGGCAGGTATTCAAGTCATTTTTCTCTGCTCTAATTAGGAAACTCTTGAGACTTTCTCTGCTGCATTAAGTAATAATGAGCCTGGACACTTCTACCTTTCTTTCCATTATACTCATGTATAGGCATTAGAAATGCAGCTAGTGCTGTTGTACAATTCATGTTCTAAAATGTCCTGTATTTTTCCCTGCTATGGTACATTTCTATACATTGTACCTGGTGTAGAAAATAGTCTATAAAAACGTGTTAGGCTTAGCAAAAGGAAGAAATGCCCATAGTACATCTGTATTTTAAAGCACTGACATATGTTTTATCACTGTTATTAGCCCCTAATCTTCAATATCATGGTGAAATCTAGCTGAATGGGAAAGGCAAGGGATGAATCTCAAAAAAGCATTAATTTGGACCGAGAGTTGAGAAGCAGGTTTAAGTGACAGCAAATGTAGTTCAAAATGAGCATGTAGTTTTACATTTTACTTGTTGCTTGGGTAAAGTTGCTAAAATTTCTGTAGTTCATTTCACTCTTATACTCAGAGTCCTTTTACGTAAAAATACAGTTGTGTGCTGTATAATGTCATTTTGGTCAGTGACGGACCACATATATGATGGTGGCCTCATGAGATTTTAATGGCTATACCATATAGCCTAGGTGTGTAGATGGCTATATCATCTAGGTTTGTGTAAATACACTCTGTGATGTTCGCACAGTGACAAAATCACGTAACAATGCATTTCTCCGAACGTATCCCTGTCATTAAGCAACATGTGACCATATTAAATTTATTTTATAGATTAAAGCCACCATCTTGATTTGATCCAGGAGAACCCAAGAGATAAACTAGAGTAGATTATTAAACAAAGAGAGAAGTGAGTTCAGTTTGCATTTCAATTCTAACGTGTACAAACAACTGTGGAGGGCTTCTACTTCATATAGTACTTTTATACTTTGTTTGCAGATAGGTTATCCAAGACGATACTTAAGTCTTTCCTGTAGTTAAGGGTTTGGTGGGGTTTTGTGGAAAGGGCTTTATATGGAGGTCGAACTGACTCTTAAAGTTCAAGTGATGGAGCCTTCTCATCTGTAGGTTTAGTTGAATGACATGTAACCATGAGAAATTATTATCTGTAATGAGACACAACTGGAGTAAACTGAATGTAAGAGGTATCCATATATTTTTTTAAAGTACTTGTAGTTTTAATGATTCAAAATACCCTGACTCCTGGCAGAATTGTTAACTAGTATCCAAGACAGTTTAGAGTTTTGTTTCATTTTCCTCTCCATAGGATAGCTTTTGAGGATTAGCAAAATCGCCAGAAAGCAGACAAAGAGAAAAAACTCAAGAGGCCTGAAATAATCCCCAGAATGAATTATTAATCCTAAATAATTAAGAGTTGACTATAGTTTATTTCATCCTTCAATGGGAAAGAATGGGCAAGAATTAAAATTTGAGCATTAGTTTTCCTTACCTTTTTCACTTATACCTGGAAATAATATAGAAGGAATATTTAGAAGATATGGGAGGAGGGGAACGTAAAGTTGGGGAAAGTATACCAGAAGGCTAGTTAATTGGTCACCAAGGGACTAGGAAAATAATGAAAAAGACTCCAGAAGAAAATAATATTCTCTTTTTTTATCTACAGAGTAACTTCTTACAGAACTTTCTATCCCTAACATTGCCAAAAGGAGGAAATAAACATCTCAGTAACCTGACCATTCTTTGGTTGAAGTTGCTCCTGAATGTCTCAACTAGAGAAGATGGGCAACAAATGATCCTGAGGCTTGATGGCTGTTTAGACTTACTGACAGAGATGAGCAAATACAAGCACAAGAGCAGCCCTTATATACCTCTTCTTATCTTTCATAATATTTGCTTTAATCCTGCTAATAAGCCCAAGATCTTGGCTAATGGTATGTATTCACATTATGCACCACATACACCCACATTTATACGTGTGGTTACTCATAGACTGTTTGTTCAGATTAAAACACAAAGTAATTTTGTAAGTAATTTGCAAGGTATTTATTTTATTTTTTATTGAAATGGAATTGATTATACATATTTGTGAGGTACAGAGTTGAATGTCAATACCTGTGTACAATGTGTGATGATCAAATCAGGATAATTAGCATATTCATCATTACAAAACAATGTCCTCTCTTAGCCATTTGATAACATGCATAAATTATTGTTCATTATATATGCCTAGCTTGACTGTGCATCAATAGACCTTATTTTTCCTAACCAGCTGTTTTGTGTCCAATTAACACATTTCTTGGTATCGCCCCATCCCTCTTTCCTAGCTCTAGAAAACACAGTTTTGTTTTGTCCTTCTGAAAATTCAACATATTGTTATGATTGTCCTTCCCTCCCTCCCTCCCTCCTTCCTTCCCTCCCTCCTTCCCTCCCC